ATCATCAACCAGCCAACACACTAAGCAAACAAGCAAGAAAGTCCGAGATTAAAACTAATTAAGCTTAACATATATGAATGCAGCTACCAAGGCTACTCACTGACCTAATTAAGTACGCTGTGTGGATACAAACCCCAAAGGATTTATATGCAATAGGGGCAATGTGTTTTGGGCTACGGGTGAGAAGGCAGCAGAATATTTCAAAATGTAAGAATATACAGAATAACAGAGTTGGAAAGGACCCTGTAGGTCATCTAGTCAACCCCTGCTCAAGCAGGAGACCCTATACCATTTCTGACAAATGACTGTTTAGTCTCTTCTCAAAAGCCTCCAGTGCTGGAGCACCCATAACTTCTGAAGGCAAGCTGGTTGATTGTTCTCATCGCCAGAAAATTTCTCCTTATTTCTAGGTTGAATCTCTCCTTGATCAGTTTCCATCCATTGTTCCCTGACTGGCCTTCGGATGCTTTGGAAAATAGGTTGTCCCCCTCCTCTCTGTGACAGCCCCTCAAATACTGGAAGACTGCTATCATGTCACTCCTGGTCCTTCTCTTCAACAGACTAGCCATGCCCAGTTCCTCCAACCGTTCTTCCTATGTTTTAGCCTCCAGTCCCCTGATCATCTTTGTTGCTCTTCTCTGCATTCTTTCCAGAGTCTTTTTTATAGTGTGGCGACTAAAACTGGATGCAGCACACTATAAAAAAGATTTAACAGACATGTAAGATGCCTATCCCTTACAACAGCAACGATAATTACAATGACACCATGAGTGGTTGAGAAACAGATTCTTGGGACATTTAAAGAAAGAAAAGTTAAACTTGCAAGTAGATTTCACACATGTCAGGGTGCTCCATTATCCCAAAAATGAACCACTGATGTAGACAGTGCCAGCAATGTTTTCTGCACAGCCATTCCCTCCCCCCCCCCCAAAAAAAAACCCCTGGACATCCTTCTCCTCCATAAATCCTTCTGCCTGTTGCCCAAAATGCCCCCTGTCTGCTATGTCGTCATGCAGCCTGTTCTAAATCCATCAGCCAGACAGATTGGCGTTTCCACAGCAACAAGCCAAGGCAACAGCCACCCAGCTGTCAATCATTCCAGCCGCCACGAAGTCAGCTGGCCAAAGTTCCAATGCTGCCCCCAGAGCGGCATGGTCGCCAAGCCCCTTCCCCAGTAACCGGCTTGGCCAGTTGGCACGGCCCTCTGTAGGTCAGCCTCTCTCTCTCTCCCCCTCCCTCCCCACACAACAGGTAGCCCAGGAGTGGGTCTAGCCAAAGCGCCTTCCTGTGGGGGTTGTGTTGTGTAGCTGTGTGTGAATGAGAAGCCATTGCTCTTGACGTCAATGGGCACACTTCGGCATCTGGTGCGAGACGAGGGGAATGCATGCAGAGGAGTTATGCAAACCGAGACTGTCTCATTGCTATGCAGTTTCTAACATTGCTGCCAGCAGCTTCAAGGAAGGGAAGGTAGAAGACAAGCAGGGTCAGGAGGGCTCCAGGCGTGTTATGCCGATAGGTTGATGGGAGAAGAGCCAGCAGGAATCACAACGTCTACGCTTCAGGGCTACGGGAAGAGCGTCTGAGTTAACTTGGTTCCTGAATTAACTCCTCTCCTGGGGTTGCCCCGTCCAGTAAATCATCATCTAACCAAATGAGCTGGGCTGACAACACTATGCTAAAAAGCCTAACCAAGGTTAGCACTCCCCAAGCAGAGCACGTGGGGGAAAGGCAGCCGCTACCTCATTTTAACTGTATTTAATTAACACCATTTTCATTTAAGCTTAAATTTAAAATTCAATCAAGTTACATTTTAATTTAAAAGAGCCAATCCCCCTGCCCGCCATTGAAAAAGCGTGTTCTTCAGACGGAATGGAAGCGTAAGACCAGGACAAACCAGAACAGAGATTCTGGGGGCTGCGATCACAAACCATGTGGAGCGAAACAAGGTGCGACAGAGTTCAGCTGGGCATATGCAACGTATGAAAATAAGCTAAAACGTTTGGGTAGGTTGTTGTTTAGCATGTTGCCTTGCTGTCACGTTAAGCCAAAATATTGTGTGTGGGTGTGGGTTTTTTGTTGTTTTTTTGTTTTGGTTTGGGTCCTGCATTTTATTTATTTTTATTTATTCAATTTGGAGACCACCCAATTCCCAAAAGACTTTGAGCAGCAGAAAAAAATGAAAACCAAACAATTTAAAAAAATTGCATTCAGAAGACTGCGGCCACTAAATGTACCCCAAACCAGCAAAAATAAACAAAGGCTCAACATCCAGCCTAGCCCCAGTCCTGAGAGTCTAGGGACCCCATTATAATTTGGGGTCCGAATTTAGAATGCTATATGAACCAAACCATGATTTACATAGTGTGCTAAGTCATCATGAGTTACTTCCATGATGCTGGCCATCATTATTTGTTTATTTAACAAATTTATATGGCTGCCCTTTTCACTGAATTTGATTCTGGGAGGTGTACAACCAACAATTAAAATAATGACACAACTGTCAAAACAACTTTTTAAAAATAAGTAAAAGCAAGATGGCGGGAGAAGAGCATCCATCGAACCTTAAATCCCCATATGCAAACGACGGTTTCTAGACTACGTTTCTGCCTATAAATCTGATCAACTGGGCTTTTTCTACAAATAAAATCAAGCAATCTGCGAATCTTATCATCCACTGCGACGTGTGGTTTTTTTTTCCTGACTTCAATCTTTCAAGGAGCTTTTTGTAAAGGAGCTCTTTAATAAATGATGGGGGGCTCCAGCAAATGAGAAAAAACTGGGTCCAGATTTGTAGGGAGCAAGTCGGCTGGGCACTCCTCGTATCAGCTGAGTGATGCTCAGAGACATGGCAGGCAGCAAGGATGCCCTCAAGCAGTTCTGAATAGCCAGGCTTCCTGACCATGGTAATTTCCCACAATGCCCTGGAGACACATTATACCAAAGGCATTGTGGGAAATTAAACATAGTGGCTAGACCCAGAGGCCTGAGACCCTGAGGCACTGGCTCGAAGCTGACCTTGTTTTCTCCAGGACCAACACTTGTAACCAGGAAGTTCTTTTTTCTGCCTCAATTTAGGACCCTCAAACAGATTTCACATATTTTGAGGAAGGTTTGATGGGGGCTGAAAAATAGGACACATCACCGTGAAAATCAAAGGTGAAAAGTGTAGAGTTACGAAGTCAAAGACTGCATTTTTCTCTTTGCACACTCTTTCTAGAGTCTCAACATCTTTTTTTATATCGTGGTGACCAAAACTGGATGCAATACTCCATACACACACACACACACAAACACACACACATCCCTTCTACGCAGCACTCGCAGTGTCCTTGAAAACATTATCCCCCATATCGTATTTTTTGAACCACGCACTTGCAGTTTCCCACAATCCCCTGAAATGGTGCTAAGTAGGGGGCACTTTGACAAATGAAGATAACAATTAGGTTGCGATGATCTCCAGACAAGGAATATTCTATAAGCAGCGTCTTTGTGACTCTTTCTTTCACCAAGATTCGACTCTCAAAGGCTGAATGCTATTGGTGTGAGGTGGACAAAAGGTGGCGAAAACTGCGAGGACTAGAACCTTGGAAGGAAAAGCACGGAAAGAGACACAAGGAAATCTTCGGGAAGTGGGGTTTTCAGGAACAGGAGAAGAGAAATAGACTTTGAGAGGTATTCTGACTCAGAGTCAGCGAGCGTGAGAGAAAGACGGCAGATTTGAAGCCAGCAAGCAGGCAACAGGTTTCGCAACACATTTTTCAGACGATTAAACCCAATTCAAAAGAAGTGGAGGAGAGCTGCAGTTGGACCGGCATCTGCCGTTCCATCCAAGGGATGGAAACTGAACTGGAGATTTTCACTGCTGCCACTAGAAGCAAAGCAATGACATCACCATTTCCCTGCAACATCAGGAGCATACCTGTCCTTCACTGGACCCATTCCCAGCACAGAGAAATTGGGCCTCTTTCCTCAGTTACAGAACGTGAACGGACGAGAGCTGGGGAAGGTAAGGAAATGGGGGCCAAGCTGCTTCCAATCCCAAGTCAGGGGTATGATTATTGCAACCTCTTTCTATTATGCAGCATCCTTTACGGTGTGCCAGGTGTTAGCCGGAAAAGGGAGGCTGTGAGTCTTTGCTTACAATCCAGCTGAGATAAATTAAAAAACAAAACAAAACAGAAGGGTAAACAGGGCAATCTTTCAGTGGTTGGGTTCAGACAACATGTTGAGACTCTAGAAAGAGGGCAGAGAAGAGCCACAAAGATGATTAGGGGACTGGAGGCTAAAACATATAAAGAATGGTTGCAGGAATTGGGTATATGTCTAGTTTAATGAAGAGAAGGACGAGGGGGGACAGGATAGCAGCGCTCCAGTATCTCAGGGGCTGCCCCAAAGAAGAGGGAGTCAAGCTATTCTCCAAAGCAGGACAAGAAGCAACAGATGGAAACTCATCAAGGAGAGAAGCAACCTAGAACTAAGGAGAAACTTCCTGACAGTTAGAACAATTAACCAGTGGAACAACCTGCCTCCAGAAGCGGTGAATGCTCCAACACTGGAGGTTTTTAAGAAGAGACTGGACAGCCATTTGTCCGAAATGGTATAGAGTTTCCTGCCTGAGCAGGGGGTTGGACTAGATCACCTCCAAGGTCCCTTCCAACTTTATTATTATTATTATTATTATTATTATTATTATTATTATTATTATTATTATTATTATTATTATTGCTACTGCTACTACTACTACTACTACTATTATTATTATTATTATTATTACATGGTGATCCCTGGTAACCTTAATTCAACAGTTAGCTCTTGATCAAACCATCGCTGGCACCCCAACAGAGAACAGCTGATTGTGAGGATTGCTTGGCCCAGCATGCCAAGATGAGGCTGGGTTCCCACAACATGCCAACCCACACACCCACCAACTCTTTTTGAGCAGCTCCCGCTACGGGGGAGCCTCTGCTCTCCCCTGCCTCTTTTCGATCCGAGCTTCTTACCTTCACTGCAAAACTTGCCCTGGAAGCCGGTGAGGCGGCAATCACACTGCACTTCGCTGTTGACCACCGTGCAGATCCCGCCGTTGACGCAGGGGTTCTGCTTGGCGCACAGATATTCCATGTCGCTGCGGATGCCCTGGCTCCCCAGGAGGGCGGGGGGCATGTCTCCCACTTTGAGGTTTGCCACCATCCCGCGAAAGGGCATCTCGTACTTGACCGTGCTGAGCGTCAGGGCCGACAAGCGGACGTCCGGCGGGATGCCGCCCACAAAGAGATCGCTATCCACCGCCATGTCACGCCGCTTCGACTTGACTTCGGCCACCCGGGCTTCGCCGTCCACCACCAGCATGGTCTCCCGGTAGTTGCGGGTCAGGAGTACCATGTGCCAGCGGTCGTCATTGATGGGGGTCTCCAGGTGCAGGCTGGCTGGCTCCGCGCAGGAGATGGTGAAGCGCAGCCGGAAACGACCCTCCAAGATCAAGAGTTCCAGGAAGTCACAGTTGCCCCCATCGTCCAGGTACAAGACCAGAGCGCGGGACACGTTGGTCTTGATGCTGAAGCTCAGCTCCCCGGAGGAACTGGCATCCCACCGGGCGTAGCGAGCCCACTGCCCCGGCGCCCCCCCAAACTCCAAGGCTGCTCCCCCGGCTCCGGGGCCCAGGACCAAGCCCACCAGCAATGCCAGAGGCACCAGCAAACAGACCGACTTCGCCATGGCAGGCCCACGGTCAAGCGGGGCCCCCTTGGGGACACCCTCAAATCCTCATGAGACGGGAGGAGAGCAAAATCCTGCAGGAGGAAGGTCGGTCCAAGGGTGGCTCCTTAGACGAAAGAGCCCGTGAGGCTGCGGAAGGAGGGGACGAGATTTCCTGCGTAGGAGAGGGCCACGGAAGTCCTTTGCGTCGGTCCCCTTCCCAAGAGGGAAGGTGGCACTCACAGACTGGCATACAGCATCTTCGTCCGCAGCCGGCTGGGCAAGCTGAGCCGAGTTTCACCCCCCAAAGAGAAGGCCGCTCCCTGCCACCAGCAACTCCTCAAGGTTCACTGGAGGGAAAGCCCTCCAGGTGCGCTCTGAGCTCAGCCTGGAATGCGCATCGTCAAGATGTTCAGATCTGGAAAGAGAATGGAAAGGAAAGAAAAGTAGATTTGTGAAAGGGAGGGAGAGAGAAAACTGGTCTATTATCTCCTCTGTTTTAATCAATTTCTTTATAATCAGCCTGGTCTTGGGAGGGGAGCAGACAGCCACAACTGTGGAGCGTCCAGCGTTAGTGCTCCAAAACTGAATCTAGGCCTGTGGTGGCGAACCTATGGCATGGGTGCCAGAGGCAGCACGCAGAGCCCTCTCTGTGGGCACGCGCGCCGTCGCCCCAGTCCTAGGCCTTCAGTTGGGTTTTATAAAACCTTTTCGCTTTAGGCCTCCGCCGCCGTGTGCAAAAAAAAAAAAGGTTCAATCAATCAGTCAATTTCAACTTCTCGCGGGGAAAAAAAAGATCTTGCAAAGTTGGAATTGATTGATTGAACTTTTTAGTCCCACCCAGTCTGCCGTTATCACCGCAGCCCAATGGGACACGCCCACCCAATGGGACACACCCATCCAATGGGCCATGCCCACCCAGCACCCGAAGATGCATAAGTGGGTTTTGGGTTGCAGTTTGGGCACTCGGTCTCTAAAAGGTTTGCCATCACTGATCTAGGCTCACAGTTCACCCAGATCCCCATTGCTAGAAAAGGATTTCCAGAAGCTGCTTAGCTACGACTCCCATCCCGCTGGCTGACTCTGGCAAGAGTTGCTGCCCAAAGCGTTTAAAAGTGAAAAGCGAACAGGGAATAAGGAACAACACAAAATTCCACAGCAAGTTAAGCCAGATTCTCCAGCTGACAGAAAGCCTTTATTCGCACATGCTTAATCTGGTTAGCTGTGGAATTTTATTTATTTTATTTTATTTTATTTTATTTAGAAAACTTATATTGCTGCTTATTTGCGGGTAATTAATACGGTAGTCTTTTTTACAACCATTCATTCAGTGACTGTTTGAAGTTGTGATGGGGCTGAAAAAAGTGATTTCTGACAGGGGTGTCAAACTGCCGGCCCGCGGGCCAGATGCGTTCATGGCGAAACCGCGCCCACCCCATTGCCAGCAACGGGAAAAAAGTCACGATACGTCGCGATACGTCACGTGACGTTGTGAGTTTGACACCCCTGATTTATGACCAATCCTCATGCTTATGACTGTGGCAGTAAGCCCGCAATCACAGGTCGCAGCGTCCTGGGGTCAAATGATTGCCACTTGTGACCTTCCCAGCTGGCTTCCAACAAGTCAAGAGGAGAAGCCATATTTGTTTAACAACGCCGGTGGTTCACTTAATGACTAAGCAAAAATGGTGGTAAAATTGGCCATGACTCGCTTGACTGCATCGCTTAGCGACCAAAGTTCCAGTCCCAGATTTGATCATAAGTCGAGGACTACCTGTAGTTGCGCCGACACCACCTATTGTAATAAGTTAACTCCTGTTACCTTTTTTTTTCTAGTTTCATTTCCTAGACCAGACCAGCCCGTTTGATGAACGTCTGACTCACTGTATTGTGTAAATACAGAAAAATGGAATTATTCAGTACCCAAGCGAGGTCTGTCATACGAAAGTAGTTATTTAACGGGTTTTTTTCAGAGTGAGAATGTGTGTATGTATATTTTGTGTTCTGCTCACGGGGACCAATAGAACACATCGTCTCTTCTAGCTTTGGAGATCGTAACAAGTATAGCCCATTTCGTGAAAAGAGTGTTTCTTCAGCCGTGAGGACTAGAAACATATCGATTTCCAAATTAAAATGTGATTCTCCCTCCCTCCCCAACCCCACCCCCAGGAATCCGCCTCCCTGAGCTGGGGAGAAGGAACTGTCCACCTTCTCCCGCATCGCCAGCTTCCATCCTCCCGCCCCATCCGAGCCGGATCGGGGCCTTCCGGTGCCATTCCGTGTGCTAATGCAATGCAAATTTCATCCCCATCAAATTGCTTTTTTGGAATGATTACCCTTGTAACTGACTGTCAAAGATGCAATTTATTTCCAGCCCTCCCCTCAACGCCTGCTGCTCAGGAAGGGGTGAGCACGGCTCTGCATCTTGTTACTTTCTAAGAGCCTGATTATTTATAGCAAGGGAGTGGGAACAGAGAGAAGGTGCAACGAGCAGGAGCAAAGGGGTAGGGGGGCAGGTAAGGTACCCCAGCTTACACCTCCCAAAGCACCCCCTTCGTTTTGTGCCCCCTCGTTGACAGAGGTGGTGAGGATTCCTCTCTTGCTCTCCAATGCCACTTTCAGCCACCTGTCAGCACTTGCTCCACTTAACCTGGAGCTGGCGTTTTAATTCCCATCATCCACAACCACATCAATAGGAGTAGATAATATGCTTTTTTTCTAGACCTTAATAGGGCTCTTCAGCTGCTTAGAGCCAATTATTTTCATTAGAAAGGAAGGTGGGGGGGGGGAACTGGGTTTTTTTTTTATTTTATTCCCAGGGACTAGAAGCATAGCAGAGCTGGTTGCAAAAACCAGTTGCAAAGGAAGAGAGGGAAAGAGCAAAGCCACTCTAAAAAAAACTCCAAAAGCGGTTTCTCCCATTTGAGCATCCTTGAGTTGCATCGGGGTTACAGGGCCACTCATCCAGAGCTATGATGGATAGGGATTATGGTGTTTGTAGTTGCTGCTCTATGCCCCCCTGGGCTCCCCCTTTGAAGATTGCGAGGGGGTCAGTTTCCATGGCAATGGTGAGCGATACATGGCATCATGCAAATGATCTGCACCAAGGGGTTATTTATAAATCCTTGTCTGTTGCAGCTCATTGGTTAATGAGCCTAATTAACATTCGGCTTCTAATTAGCCAATCAAATTAAAACCCACACCTGCAAAGTCTGAATTGAAGTCTGAGTTAGCTGCAACCCAATCCTCCCCCTCACCGACCACGTACACAAATACGTTTGAAAGGCTGCAGAGGATCCAGACCTCCCCCTCCCCGTTTAAAAATATATACATTTTCCCCTCTTTTCTAGCCCAGTCAAAGTTTAAACACTGCAAAGTTTAAACTCCCTGACCGAGTGCACACAACGCACATCATCAAACCAGGTTTTAAGCGTGTTATCCAAACTCAGGCCCTTGGATAAGTTTACAGTTCTGACCTCTTTGGCAAACCCCAAATTGGTCAATTCCTCACGGGTTGTTAATTTGGGAGCCAGCCTCCATTCAATGCTCCAAAACTCGCATAGAAGCATCTCCTGCAGCTCGCAATGCGCCTTCCTCAAAAGCAAACTGCATTCATATCATGATCAACATTATTATTACCATCACCAGCCTTGTCATTGTGTTATTATCATCAGTCCTCGTGCAGCAGGGATGGGGCACGTTACAAGTGCCTTCCTCAAAAAATCCTTCAAATCATACAAAAGCAAGACTGCCCCTGCCAAAATACTGTAAATGTTTAATTTCAGCAACATTGCATCAAAACTAGAAAAGCGATTCCTAGAGACAAAAGCACACACAGATTCTACCACGGCTGCCCCACCCTGGCTGGGAAAAACTATTCATCTGAAGTTCAATAAAGACCAAAATTTTATTTAGCTGATCCACTGATACCACTCCAGATTAGCCCAGAGTGGATTTCCATAGTTCTACACCCTATGGTACTGCTCACAATAACCCTGTAGAGGAGATCAGATTGAAAGAGGAAGCTTATCTAGTGTGGATTTTTGACAACATGTGAACCTCAACAATCTACTAAATTAGAATTCATCAAGCATTCCAAAAGAGATTTTTTTT